CTTATGATGATGATGATGATGATGATGATGATGATGATGATGATGATGATGATGATGATGATGATGATGATGATGATGATGAAACATTGGTTTCTACAGCTAGTGTAGTTATTTATGCTCTGATTGTTCCTAATGAAGCCCGTTGAGGGCGAAAGGTTGAACTTGTCATTAAATATTTTAGAAATACTACCAAGTGTTAACCGTTTTACTATCTGCTGTATGATGATGATGATTAATATCATTATTATTGTTATTATTATTTTATGTTTATGCATTAATATGTCTATATTGCACGGGCCTATTTTCCTGACCAGCTTAAAAAAAAAAGTGTGCATTCTGTTATCCGCAAGGTAATTTTGAGAATCTGGTTTGTCTCTTTTTGATGCTAAGAATGAAATGAGGTTATCGCCTCGTGATGTACTTTAAAAAAGTAAGCATGGTGATCGGCATAAACCCTTAACAATGGCATAATTGAAGGGAACATCATCATTGGGCAGATCTAGTATTACTTATAGGATATAAACCCATGTTATTGATTAATTTACCCATTCCCTTGTCCACCAAGGAAATTAGTATGCCTGTCTACCCGCCTGCTGGTCTGTCTTCACGGTCTCACAACCAAAATGATTGCATTTGTTTGTTTGTTTGTCTGCTTGTTGTTTTTAAAAATATTTTGGCCACTTTGACGCAGTTGGGACCTTTAAGGAAGCGGGCTTTTACGACCCTGCTTTTCAGTGCTTCTGCATCAGTGAACTGTAAAGCCTTGTAGTTACAAAGGTATTATACAGGAATGAACGAGTTTCACACATATTATGATGGACTGTTGTGCGAAAGGCCCTGGTTCAAATCCCTGGGCGATCTTGAATTTTGAAGGCTCTCTACCCACTTGGCTAGGTTCTTTCTCAGATGGATGTTGAATTCAGAAGTTACACCTCTCAGATAACCTTACAATGAGTCAAACCTATACAGCTAGATCTAATGCGTGTATCTGAACAAGGACAGTCCTTGGAAAACAACGGTAGTCACAAACTGAAAATCGTGATGGTTCCAATTTTGAACACCTGTTGACTCATAACTGTATTTCTGTTCAACTGCTGGTTGATCATTGTTGTTAGATTTCCCATTCAACAACACTTAACAATAAATCACCAGTCAAACATAAATGAAGTTAAGAGTCCACAAGCTTTTAAAATTGGCACCCTCACAATTTCCAGTTTGTGACTACGGTCGTTTTCCTCCTATGCTCTTCGGTAAAGAGCAGCGCCGCGAAAACTTAGATCTATCTACACAGTTTCATTGCCTTTTAGTAAACGTGCTTACGTTTAAAACTATAAAATGTTTTCTGAAAGTGCTGTCCTCACAGTTTCATGAAAAACCATGTTGACATTCTTTGAATTAAAAAGAAAAGAAAGATTATAAATATAGCAGGAAGAAAAACTGTTCACGATTTGAGTAACAATTCCCTTTTAAAACTTTTCTAAAAATATGTGTAGGTCAAGTTGTATAGTTTTCTCTACGCAAAAATACTTCGACACTTGTGTTTTGGCAACTTGTCAAGACATGAGTTAGAACGTGTCTACAAAAGATACGTTATTATAATAACATAATTCAGACAGTCCAGTATGGTACACACTGCTGGCGATATTTACCTTGTCAATGGTTTGAACTATATCACTTCTTCCCTTAGAAACGGCGAGCTCTCGGGCGTTCATGCCACTCTGTGAAGAAACAATTCATGTATCGGTATTGGAAAATGTGTATCTATAGAGCTACAATTATTATGAGAAAGTGAGCAAAAAGGGGGAAAGTTGTCGTTGGGATGGAGAAATCCTGTACCAAGACACAGTAAAATGACACTTCTGCTTCCCAGCAAAAGTTCTCCATTAGAAATAATTTCGATGAACACTTACTGTTCTACCTGCAGTTTCCTGAAACATCGCCCCCCCCCCTCTCTCAAATACTGTCTCTCTCTCTCTCTCTCTCTCTCTCTCTCTCTCTCTCTCTCATTCTCCCTCCCGCTCTCTCCCACCCTCCCTCTCCCCCCTCACCTCATTCCTCTGAGTGAGGCCGTTCTCAGCCACTAGTAACCAGTCAATCAGTCTGTCCGTGGCTTGTTTCTATCTGTCTGTCTGTCTGTCTGTCTGTCTGTCTGTCTGTCTGTCTGTCATCTCTCTCTCTCTCTCTCTCTCTCTCTCTCT